AGATGCTGTTTATTTTTCCATCTGGAACAGTCCATGTGGAATTTGGGTTGGTAATTGAGAGCAGAATAAATAAACAACCTAAATGAAATACTAAATTATGACTAAACCAGTAAAGTAAATAAAGAGGGGAATAAAATGGCGTTATAAAGGAAAATGATCTATTAAGGAAATGTTTAGCAGCAGAGGACAGAAACGACTGCTGGACTGCTGGATGAAGTTTGAACACCTCAGCCTGACTGTCTGATTTGTTTGGGAATCTGTTTGTTGATGTTTCAGCTTCTTGCCCCTCTAGTTCGGTGTTTCTTCACCTCATGAAACTCTTGTTTCTGGTTCTTTGATTTTGCTTTACCTTGGAAACATCTTTCTTGGAATCGGATGGAAAGCCTATTTTCCATCGATCTCCGTTTATTTAACCAGGATGAATAGTTGAATACTTTTTTTCCCACGACAAGGACCCTAAAAAAAACTCAACCAGTGTTGCAGTTTCCTGCTGCGGAGGCTGAACGCCTGCAGCAGGAAGTCCTCACCTGTTCAGCTCCCTCTGCAGATCCTGCATGTAGTGATGACACTGAGCGTAATAGGTGGCCTGAGCTTCTGCGAAGTCCTGTAAACACCTCAGGTGGTTGAGCTGAGGGGACAAAGCAGAAGATGAGGCAGATCCGTCCGGTTAAACAAAGTACCAACAGATAGAAAGAAATTATGCATGAGATCCCAGACTTAAATCAATTTCAGTTAAGGTCAGAGGTCATTATCCAACATAAAGTAAGAGAGACTGGACAGAAATGCCCCCCTGGGAGCAGCTAAAGGTCAGAACCACTGCTGAACGTCCCTCCTCACAGTTTTTAAAACATAATATTGAGGAAAAAGTTATTGATCTCACAACATATTGGAAAGTGTTCTATATTTCACAGTGAGTTAGGACCAGATACCCAGCGATCCTTCAGGTCCTACTTTCAGCGTGCGAGGGCCGGCCCTCCTTAAATCATACCGGCCCCAACACTTATTCTCCACCTGAAGCACCAACTTGAGACAGTAAATAACTCAAGGAGATCAAGAGGTAATCCAATGTTGACTACTTATATGCTGCTTGCAGCAGTGTTGTGCCTGAACGCGTTCATTGAACGAAAGTTCATGAACTCGTTCATGTTTTGGGCGAACGTGAACTG